GTGCGTGCGTGCGTGCGTGCGTGCGTGCCAACACACTGCTGTGTCCAGGCAGCTGTCCTGGCACACACACACACACACACACACACACACATACAGATCTATGGTATTGAACCGGTGCTGATTCACTCCTAGGTACCAAATGAAAGCACTGAAGTGGTCAGCGCTGGCAGTCAATAATTTGTACTTGATTTAGGACATTTGTGGTCTAAAATGGAGTTGACCTCCAGTTGCTTATGTGCCAGGGGTGCTTTTGATTATCTTTGGGTGGTAGATAAACATGCAAAGCTGTTCAGTTGTATGTATTAAAGGTTCTAATCCCTCTTTGTTGATTCAGGGTGCGGTGAGCGGGGTGTTGCTGGTGACACCCAACAACATCATGTTCGACCCTCACCGGATGGACCCCCTGGTTCAGGCCCACGGGTGCGAGGAGTACGGCATCATGTGTCCTCTGGAGGAGGTGCAGTCTACCGCCATCTACAAGGAGATCACTGACCCCAAGATCAGAGAGGATGTGCCAGAGTAAGAGGAATATTCTTACAGTTACACGTGTCTTTCTCCCACTCTCACCCGTACAGAAATGCAGCAATCAATGTCTGTAATCAATGTCATTCTCGGCTGCACTCGTGGTCAAATTGCATCAGCAACCAACCAACAGTGTAGTTCCCCCACCACAAACCAAAATAAAAAAGGAAACGGCAATTACACCAGGGTTAATGTAGTATGCCTTCACCCTCCTGTGTTCTGATTGCTCAACTCTTTATGCAGTAGGAAGCACTTCAGAGGATTCACTTGTTTCCTCCCACAGATTTGTCTGAGTTGTTTTTTTTGCTTCACTTGGATTTGTTTGTGTTGTTGAAAACTGATTTATGCAAGGACAGATAGGGTGTACTATTAGAAACCCTGTGGAGTCATTTTGTTCTGTTTCTTTTGGTGGTAGCAAGGTCTGAGCAGTGCTCCATTTAGCTGGTTGAGTGTTGCCCGTGGAGCAGTAATTGTGCTGGCAAATGACTGGTTTTTGTGCCAGGCCCAGCTGTTTTCTCAGCTGTGGTCCATTGTCTGTCTCTGCTCTCCCCCTCTCTGCTGACCTCTTTCTTTCTCTCTCTCTCTGTCTGAACACACAGCTGAGCAACAAGTGCCTCCAGGATGTAATTCTGTAGAGTGAGCTGTTTGGTCTGTCTGCATGCAACCGAGGTTTCCAAGAAATAGAAAGTTTTTATGTTCATGCACTAAACACTAATTAGCTCCTTTGGACAGTTAGAATGGGGTTTTGTTGTACATAATTTGAAATACAACTATGGTATTAGGGATATTAACATTCATACGACAAATCGTGTTTTTTTTGTCCAAATATGCACAAAGTTGGTGCAACAGTATTTATGCGTAAAGGGAGATCAGGTCTGTTTTTCGCGCCCAGTCGTGTGCTAAATTTCCGTACAGCTGGGATTATTGCGCTGTGTTCAGAGCCTGTGCTACAGGGTAAATGGTGGTTACTTTCATAAGAGGTCACTGTGGTTTCAGCTTCATTTTTTTCTTGCCATTCCTGTCTTGCAACACTGAATTTCTGAAATTTGAAACAAAAGTGTACATAGTGAGCAGAATGTATGACCCAAATCATTAGATATGCTCATATTCCAAAATTAACACCAGTAATAGGTGATTCTGTTCTAAGGAGATCAGCGCAGCTCTCTGTATTTTTTTTTTTACTTGATAAAGGCATTTACATATAGGCTACAACCACTTATGGAATGCATGAATTGCTTAAGCTCTGTTTAAATGCACTCATATGTTATATTATACGTCTTCCAGTAACAAATCGGTAAATTGTGCAGGATTATTATGTTTCATCTTTTTACTTTGTTTGACCATTTGCTGAATAACGCAGAATGGGAAAAGAAATCTTCATTATTATTTCAATATCACTGAAATAACTGACTTACATTTATGTTAGTTATTCAAATACCAAATGTGTTTGCTTGCTGCAAAATTAGCCCACGACAATTGTTTGAATAAAGCAACAAGGAAATGCATTTTACATTATGTATAAGACATTATAATACGTTATTGATCATTAATGTGGCCGATGATTGGTTAAAGTTAATGAGTGATTTAGTGTAGCACACGATAGAGCTGGGGGACTCAAAAGAGACAGATATAGAAAATAATGATGATAATGAAAAAATTGAAGCAGCAGACGCAGTGATATTAGCCTGTAGTTGAGGCCACTTTCCAGAAAGGCTGGATCCTACATTTCCCATGATACTAAATGCCAAATAATGTCTGGCAGTTGACCATCCATGCCTGGTATACACACACACATCAACTCTGTGGCCTCAGTTTGTAACACTTTCTTACTTTAGACAGCCACAGGGGATATTTATTATGTTTTTGCAGCCTGAGGAAAACTACTATTACTACAACTAAACTGATCTACCTGTGTAAGATCAGAGAAGTATACAATCAGTGCACTACCTGGAATACATGCTATATGTGGTATTTCTTGATAGAGTTGCATTGAATGTGTCTTACTGGTTGTCTTTCATGTTTCCAGTGACCTGGAGCCTCTTCCAGTTGAGAGACACCCCTCCCAGCAGAAGGACCCAGAGCAGCGCCTGAGGGAGCCAGGGGCCAGCGACAGCGGCAGCACCGCCCCACGCAGCACCGAGGGGTCCATCTCCGAAGACGTCTTCACCGAGCCGGAGCTGTCCCCCATCCGGGAGGAAGAGCAAGCGTCTAATGAGGACCTGCGCCTGGACAAGTCCTCTGGCGCTTTCACAGAGTCTGTGCAAACCGTCACCCAGGTGGAGGCCACCGGTGCTGTCTCCCAGGCCCCAGGCAGTGCCCGCGGCTCAGTCAGCCAGCCGGAGGGGCCCGCCGCGGCCAAAGCAGAGGACAATCCACCAGACACTGCCACAGAAAATGATAGCCAGTCCCCCATGGGATCCAAGCAGCACAGTGTAGAGAAGCCACCAAGCACACCCACTACCACCAGCAGCAGCACTAGCCAGGCCCAGGGTCCCAGCAGCAGCACCTCTCGTCCAGGGTCCCAAAGCTCAGCCACCCCTGGTGCCACAGACACCACCTCCGTCTCAGCCAGTCCACAGGGGGATGCCAATGAGGGGACAGATGTCTTCAAAACGGACACTATGCAACAAGGCAAGGGGGAAAAGGAGAATGTAGAACAGACACAAAAGGAAGGCATGCTGAACTCTGCAGAGGGTAAACACACTTCATTACTAATGGTTAGAGAACATTTCAGGAGATGAATCTGGCCTCATGTCTTTTAGCTGCAGCCCTTCATCCATATTCTTCTGAAACCTATCAAACTGAGATTCTCTGCTCTTTGGCTGCTTCAGAATCACTTCTCACATGTTGGTTCTTGATAACCTTTCCGTTTCCACTCTGCCTTGGTGCTAGTAATTGGAATATAAGGCGAAGGGAAATGGCAGCCTCTCTGTTGTTATCAGCTTGGCGAAGCTAGCCGGGCTTTATGGGGCTCTATGCAGCTCTTTGATCTCTGGCTCTGGTGGTCTGGACCACTCCTCCGGGCGATAAGCAAAAGCCTATCAAACACCACAATGCCACAAACACAGCTAGTACCCAAAGGGGAAACACAATGACGATGAAACCCAACATCAAAACGCCTTCTGAGACAGCATTCAGAGGTGTTATTTATATTTGACATCTGTCTCTGGTTTTGCTTTCATGTGGGATTTAGTCAAATACTAAATTCTACAAAGCCTAGAATAGACCTATTTTGTGTTCATTGCCATGTTTAAGATTAAAGGATCATACCAGGTTTTAGATGTTTTAACCTGTCAACTACCAGTTGGTAGTTTTTATTTCTTGTCATGCCAAACATTTGATCCATCCCACAGTGGATTCCAAGACACCTTCCAGTAACATATATACAAAAACATATTAAAATAACACAATTTTCTAATATTATGGGTATTTCTATATACTTTCAAATAACATATATTTATGTGTACAATTTTAAATTAATTAAACACTAATTAAAAAAGAACTGAATCTGCAGTGTGCATGTGATCCAACATTAAATTAAGTGCTGTGGATAGGTTTTTTGGTTGTTGTTTTTTTTTTTTTTACTACAAATTGTTTATACGGTACTTACTGTACATAGATTTTCTATCTGGCTTTTAAACTGATGTTGTCTATTAAAGGTATATAATGCCAAAAACATAATCTTAAACAATAAAAAATGAAAATTTCTCATGATCACAGCATACAGTAGCATACTTTCAAATTACAAATGTAAGAGTATCCTTGAATGCACCAGCAAGTAGTTTTAAAACAGCCAATTCTCTCTGTATCAGCGCACAGTGATAACATAACTTTATTAAGGTAGCAGTATGTTCACTGTGATGGATTACCTATCTCCAGCAAAATGATGTTCAGTGTACTGAAACAAATGGAAAGCAGTGACTGCCTGGAAGTTAGGTAGGAGAAAATGGTTGGCAATTAATGTGCTATTAGTGGTTGATTGGCTCAAACATACAAAACTATGACAGCATCCTTTAATCAGTATCTGCTTGGCACAGTTCTGGTCTTGTTATCTGACAGTGGCCTCGGTCTGTCACGCTCACTGGCTCACTTGTGCCTGTATAACCCACTCTAGTTGGACACGTAGTTGTGATTCCAAAAAGATTTCTCTCCCCAGAAGACCAAGACAGTGGGAGAGAGATTTTCCATTTTCTCCCCGGCAATTATTGTCACACAGAGAGCCGGGCTGCAAAAGCACTTTTAATTCACAGGAATCTCAGCAGGGCTGCCTATTATTCTGTGCACATTAGCACAGCCCACACACGTAACAGCAGCAACTTCAGAAACACACTGCATTAACACAGTATTAATGCATTTTGAAAGTTGAATTTGTCCTACTGAGCTGTGTTGTCTAAGCAGATTAATATTATTTTCCCTGTCATTATTTTTGCTAGTTAGCTTGAGATGCCCAACCAGGAGATGACAATATGTGCCGGTGTAATGTCACTGGCACATATTGTCCGTTCACTGAAAGAGTGATCTCATACAGCTTTCTGCGGCTGTGGCTTTATAATTGATAATGTACCATAGGCAGAAGACTCAGTGCCACTATCAATTATAGTGTGCTACTCCATTTATTTCTGTCATCTGTTGTGTTTCTGCCACAAAATGACTAATGCCAGCTGAAGTAGCTGGTAAATAGAAGAAAGAAAACAAGGTCACATACATACAGCAGGTATTGGGAAGAGAACACATAGTTAATCAAGAAGATGTATTTTGTTTTTGATAGAGAACAAAATAGTCATGATTTTCAAAGGAACTGTTTGATATTTTGGGAAATATGCTATTTTGCTTTCCTGCGAGAGTTAGACAAGACGGTTGATACCGCTCTCATGTTTGTATGGTAAATATGAAGCTATAGCCAACAGCTGCTTAGCTTAGCTTAGCTTAGCTTAGCATAAAGACTGAAAGCAGGGGGAAACAGCTAGGCTGGCTCTTGCTCTTGATTGAAGTCATTGTCAAACTGATGAGATACAACACATTTATGAGTTTTATAGGTGTTAGTAGACAGATTTTGTTAGCTTTGGACAGGACCAGGCTGTTCCCCTCTTTTTAGTCTTTATGTTAAGCTAAGCTAACCAGCTGCTGGCTGTAGATTCATATTCAACATACAGTTAATGTCACTGATCTGATATTGAAAAGGCACCTTCTCCAAAACGTCTTTTAAACTATTCCTTTGAAATGATTTGTCCTGTTTGTTATAACTATTAAGTTATAACTTAACACGTTATGCTTATGTGACCATGTGATGATTTCCTCTTTCAGGTACAGTGTCGGGAGAGAGGCGGAAGCACCGCTCTCACAAGTTTCTGTGTTTGCGGGTGGGGAAGCCCATGAAGAAGACGTTCGTTTCCAACGCCAGCGCCTCCATGCAGCAGTACGCCCAGCAGGGCAAGAAGCATGAGTACTGGTTTGCTGTCCCGCAAGAGAGGTCAGTACTTCTGCTACACCTCCCAGTAGTTAATGTAGAATTTTGCAACAATAGTCAGCTGAGTTACTGAGGCACCTCACCTCCAGTCCTTTTAATATTTGAAACCAATCAAATATGCATTCTATGTCAGGTCTGACTCCCTCTGCGGCTTCTCCCCATCTCCCTCTGCCAGGCAGCAAAGGGATTTATTATTCATTCACTCTGCAGGGAAACAGACACACATGCTTTATTCCTGCACTGGGGCACACATGACCCATGCAACAGTCAGGATCAGCTAAAGCAGTGCCCTGTGTGGTCTTTCAAAAGAATGTACTTCACCCACAAAGATGCTGTGAACTTTGTATGACCTACACTGAAATTTGTAATGGCTCATATCAACGGAAAATAGCCTCAGCTTGTTTATGTGTTTGTTCTAAGTTGGATCGTGCCGTCTGGAAGTACAGTTGCCAAGTCAGCAGTAGTCATAATTACATTAGAGCTCTTCACACTGAAAGGAGAGCATTACGAGAAAGTTGTGTAATATGTTAATGTGTTTTTTTTGAATGAATCCAAATTGCAGCAATGGCTTAATTTAATAAGTCACTTGTCTTAAAAAGCCATTCATTTCAGCCAAATCTGGAATTGATTGGTCATCCCAACGTCATCCGCCTCTGTCTCCAGCACAGATGTGTTACTTTATCTATCTAGTCTTCTTAGAAGACTAGAAAGGCGCTATACAAGTACAGGTCCATTTACCATTTACCATTTAGAGACGAGGAGACAAAAGCACAAAAATGGAAATTATTTCATGAGGTGAATCTGATCAGTTATTTCCCAACCGTGAGTTTCACAGCACCTCTCGTGTTTTCAGTACATGTGTCTTTTACAGCAGCAACACACATGGTGTTCTCTCAGGCTGCTAATCACATCAGACAAACAGGCGCATCGTCTTTAGTTAGTCATGGTACCATAAATGCTTCTTGGTTATGCGATATGTTGAGTCCCTTAGTGCCGTAAAGATGCAGGAATCCTCTTCACTTCATTATTTACTATGGACTTCAGACATCTTGCTTGTTAAAGCTCTGTTGTTTTTATCCACAGGTTGCTTAGCTACAACGTTTTCCACCTGGAAAACAAGTTTGCTGTGATCCACACTGCTCTTGGGGATGATAGCCCGGGGACATGGCAGATTCAAAGCTAGTATTAAAAGACAGGGCTCGTACATGTTACCACTCATTATTTTTAATGCATTGCAAGCAGGCTAAGGTGTGTGGGAGGAGTGATCATAAGCTGTTCCAACTGACAGCACAGCAGCTCATAGTTTCTACAGATACTGCTAGGCTCTGAAGCCTGACCTAGATGGGAGGCGACCCGCATGATGTGTCTTTAAGTGTCCTGGCCTGGCAATGGTGTGGGAAGAAAAGGGAAGCTATTGAATGAGCCATACACAACCATGACTCTGAATAGAGCTCAACCTACTGAGTCTGCCACAGCTCTTTCATGTCTGCTAGCAAACACAAACAAACTGTATTCAGTAGTTTTCTGTCACTTTTTTGTGAGTTCTGCCATAGTCATTATATCATATCCTGAACTGTTCAGCTGTGGTCAGCCAGAGAGGGGGAGGGGCAAAATTGTAGTCACAATGTTGGAGAACTACAGGAGATCATTATTACCACTAGACTTCCTTGTTTTGAGGAAACTGACTTCTGCTATGTACAACTTTAAAGCTGCTTTAATCAGTATTTTTATGTTAATGTATCAATTGAATGTCAGAGTTCACACCTGACTCTATAGTTCCCCTCAGCTCTATCAGCTAATTGTTTTGGGTTTATGAAGTTCAACTTCACTGTTTTAGTTCAGTTGCACTGCCTGTCCCCTGTACACTACCCAACACCAAATGAAGTTAGCGACTAGCTGGTGAACAAAGTGGAGCATTTAGCAGCTAAAGAGTTTCCCTCAGGAGTTGGTAGAGACCAAAACGGAGCTATGAGTGAATATTAACTTTAGATTTGTTAGGTGTCCAGAAATACGACTCCAAATAAATGCTAATGTTGCTCTGTGTCTGTTTTGATGTATTAATAAGCAACTGTTAGCTAACACATTTGCCGTAACTATGATAATATGATACTATGTGAATGCTGTGTTTACAGCTTGTTAGCACCGGCCCCAAATGACCATCAAAATGAATGTATTCAGTTTTAACTATGCCTTATATTCATATTAAGAGAGATTGTGTCCCAAAATACTTACTAACAGACACAATGTCACACAGACAAAGCAGCTTTAACACTTCAGCAGTATTAGCTGAGAGGAGACTAATAAAAGGTCTTGTGTCAGTCTGTCTGTGTTGAGTTTCATTCGTCCTGAAAACATTTGGGAGATTTATCAGATTTTTCATCAAATCAAAGTCACAATTTAAAACTTGTGACCTCACTCAGTGTTGTATTTTACCTTACAGTCTCTGGTACTGGCCCTGATATTTTAGAGGCACTGAATGGCGCATATCAGATGATTTTGTGCTAAATCTCCAAGACCTGTAGGAACCAAGCCTCTTCCCTCATAGTTTTTCCTGTGGTTCTTCCCCCAGGTCAGACCACCTGTACGTGTTCTTCATGCAGTGGAGCCCGGACATGTACGGTGAGGGGGTCAGGGGGATGGGACAAGAGCCTGGATTTATGGTTGTCAAGAAGAATGAGGTGTCAGAAACAGCTGAGGATGAGCCCATCACTGACCTCAATGTTAAGGAATGGGAGGTAAGGTCTGCACAGCTAAAACACTTCCCTCACCTAGCTTAAAGTGCAAGTGTGTTGTCTCAACCCTCACATACATGGATTAAGTATAGTTCTCCACTATGGTTTAATCCATAATCTGTGAACAATGTGGTGTATTGTTAAGTTTATTGTTATATGTTGAATTACATGTTCAGTAATTGTGTTGATTTGCCTTCATTATGCAACGCATAGTGCAAATATATTGTGCTGATCTTGGTTTTTAATCCATCAGAACTGTGTAGTTGTCAAGCCTTAGTTTTGTATTCTGCTTCTGTATTTTGCACCTCTGTGTACCGCTGCATATTTCTTGATTTGATAGTAAATTTTTGTATAAACTTTCTATCACATGTAAGTTGTGTAAACACTTGCTTTGCTTGGAAATGCGCTTCTCTGAGCTTCCAACCAAAGTGTTTTGCATGTTTGTGTAATTCTTTACTCTTCTCAGTCGGTGTATTGTAGTTTCATCACATGTTGTGTGACTGTCACTAGTGTTGGTCCGCATTTGGCAACTTACTTTGCTGAATGGTAAAATTGTAACACCATTATGAGTTGCTCAACATATACAGAGAATATAAACATTGAGCAACTAAACTGTGTTGTTTTTTGTTTTTTTATGAGTTATAGTCCCAAAAACTCATGTGGCACTGATGTGGGTTCAAACTGTCTTCGAAACTAACCTTTCAAAGTGCATTTATTGCATTTATAGAATGTGGAAGTAAGACAAGGGAGCATAGATAAGGAATATCCTTCTATTTTTTCAGCACTGTCTGTGCATGTTGCTGCACCATGCACAGCGTGGATGTGTTTTGGCCAAATGAGACTGTTTACTAGCTTGTGGAGATGAAAAGGATGCATTGTACGAAGAAATTGATACGGTGGAAGCTGTTGCCTGGATTTAAATTTTAATGTAAATGAATGATGTAGGAAACAAAGTGGACTAATTTGTTTGTCCCTGGGCATCTTGCAAACAGAGGCCACATGATCCATTATATTTTAATAAGTAAATAGGAACCTGCTGCTTTAGTTTGCCCTGTTGACCATACATGACTTTAAAGCAATGCTTTTAAGGCACAAATTAGATGTGCTTTACCAACAAAGGTTTGTCTAAAAACTAATAAGAGTTTTGCTTAACAAAAAGACAAAAAAGAAAAAGACCAAATTGACTTTTAAAGCTGATTTAAGTTTCATTCGATTGAATTTGATGTGAACCTTTTTGTTTGTTTTTTTATAACTGGGAAATGGTCCATCAAAGTGTATAGAAACGATACCTCATGGCATAGTGGTGTAACTGTGTCTTTAAATCATGTCGGTTCTGGGACGGGACCATCGGGTTTCTTTAACCAATGGGGAGCCGGTTTTCCTCCTGTCCCGTATTGTTATTGGTTTTTAGCGATGTCACACAAATCATTCGGCGTAAAGACCCCATTGGAAAAAACTGTTTCTATTTTAGTCAAGCAGGCTGCCAGGCTTCGTACCAACTCCCGGTGCTTCTCTCGGGGCTATACGGGGAGAACTTACAGGATCTGTAATGTGACTTTCCAGCTTCAACCTCGTCCAGAAAGCAAGACATGTTTTCTAGGAGGGTGAAAGACCAAGAGAAGCGGCTGACCCCGAAGTATACCTGTGTATGTACAGTGTACCAAGTTCATGTTTCAGTCTCCAGCGATGTAATGTATGTTCTTGTATGTTCTCTTGCTGTTGTTGTTGTTGTTGTTGTTAGCATGCCGTGCTAGCTCGCTAGCGAAGCTAACTAGCCTGCTAGCCGTTTAGCCGGTCCGGTCTAGTTCAGTGGCAGCAGATGTTAAACAAAGTGGCCACTATCTGAACGCTATTTGTCAGTCAGGACAGTGCTCTCATCCTCTGCCTGTCCTCTCTGTTCCCACGATGTGTGTGGCTCTGTAAGCTGTCTGAAAGTTTCCAGTGCTAAGTGCCAGTTTATTAATGCAGCTCCTTTTTCAGGATTCACCAGTGTCCTTAACCTTAACCTTACATCACCAAATACTTTACAGTTACCAGATATCATGTTGACTTTATAGTTTGTTGAGTGACTGTTAAGTAGCCACCTGTGCTGTACCACACAGTATTTAAAGTACTGGTCACATCCAAATGCTGACCTTTTTTATGACATTGATCTCTTAAGAGAAAAGGAACTTGATTCACACTTAAAAGTGTGCAGCAGGCTAGCATGCTGCTAGCTTACCCGTTTTCAGGGGGGAAATGGACTAAAGTGCCTTCAGCTGGAGGTGAAGTGAGGCACAGATGTATATTTTATGAGGGCTGTAGTTTACCCTCTCTGCTACATTATTGAGAGCTGTAAAGAGGCAGCTTGTTACCAAAAAAGTAATTAAAGGAAGCTTATGACATCTGTGTCCAGACAGTTTGATATTTATTGAAATGTTGACCTGAAATTGATAGGACTGGGTGTACTGCGTAGTATTGATGGCTTTGTTTGTTTATCTCGTGCATGAGGCTTTAAATATCTTTCTTGTACTGAGACACAGTGGACAATTAAACGCCAACGTTCATTCAGTGGCAGAACAGAGGCAGCAGCTCTCAGTGGAGTATGCAGCGTGGGGTGTTACTTTGTTGGAACGCAGCCATGCTGGTCATTGTTTTGGTCTGTCTGGACTGTATTTTTGCGGATTGTTGTTCCTGACAAACAGAGAGCGAGTTAATGCTCATGCACTTGGCAGGTGTTTGCTGCATCAGTTGGACTTTAGCTATTTTTTGTTGTGTGTTCCAGCATCAAAATCTTGTGGATTCTGAGCAGCCTTTTCACTTGGCTTGTAGAAAGGTGAATGAGTCTGCGGTTTGCTTTCTGCTGCGGTGTTGTTTCTATCCTTTGGTCTACGTCTTTTACTATAAGTGAAGCATCTAGTGGTGGTGATATTAAAAAATATTACACAAACATGCAAAATGACCGAGTGCTCTGAAATGCCCTATCTTCTTCTCTTTACCAACAGTAAACTCCTCTAACAGTGGCCTTCAGCCTTTGTTACAGTGTGTTCAAATTTAAGACATCTACCTTTCTATAAAGGGGAAGTTAAGTTTGCTGGAATCACTACTTGGTGCAAATAATACCGTCCAAAACTCACCATTTCCTTCCCATGGCCAGCAATAGATCTGGCAGAGTTTTATGTTCCACCTGTTCCTGTCTTTGTACTACCAGGTAGTGTCTCTGACGGAGTACCACCGTCGGATTGATGCGCTAAAAAGTGAAGATCTGCGCTCGCTCTGCAAACGACTCCAGGTGCCCTGACCAACCCTGTCTGCCCCCCCTCTCTGCTCTGCCCAGCCCCGCTGCTGCCTGCATCAACACGGTCTCCCATAGGCTCCATACTGCAGGCTTTAGCTGCTGCTGATGTTGCTCACTAACTTCAAAAACACATGATCCTATTGCTTTACATAGAGTTATGGGTTGAGTAAGTTTCATGAGTGTTTTGGGCTCACTAAACCTACTCAAAACTTGCTATACAAGATAAATTGGGAGTAAATTCTCAAACATTTGCCTCAATGTTTTTTTTTTTTTTTTAATCGATTCACTACAGAAAGCTTGTTTGGAGTGAAGAGGTTCTCACGTGACAGCAGCCTTATCTCCATGTGTCAGGCTTTCCTTCTTAGACCGCTTGTCATGACGTTTTTAGTGCCCACTAGATGAGTCTGGTAATGAAGTAGTTGTTGCTAGCTGTCTGTGCTGGCTGTAGACAAATCGGTAGGTTTTATATAGACATAAATTTGTGTTTCTGTAGGAAATTCCCTTTTTTCTTAAAAAGAAAATTGTCTTTGATGCTGAATGTAAAGAATACATCTAGCGTGAAGACTGAGGAAGAGACAGTACTGAAGGACGAAGAGAGGGTGTGTTTGTGAGAGGGTGGAAGTAAGACTCCCCTGACAGGGTGAATGATGTTTTCTGAGGACAATGCAGGTAGGCCCTATTTGAATGAGAACTGAAACATGAGAGCATCCCAGCCACCAGTGGTGAAGCACTCCACAATCAGCCTCTGTTATCGAGAAAGATAAATAACCCAAACAGTCCATTGGTCAGAGAAAACGTCAAACAGTGGAGTGCAAATTATTCATTGGGTTGATTTCCTATTCACTTTGCATTCTCCTCTTCCAGACAGTGTCTCTGCCCGACCAGTCCTGCCAAACCAATCCTAGTCATCTGGCATTGGAGAGTGGCAGGAAGATATTCAGCTGCCATCATCAAATTGTTGGTTGTTGCTAGCAAATGCTGCGTTTATAATTTTGGCAGGAAAACTGTTGGAATTAAAATGGGAGCTTTTGTTACTCAGGTTAGGCTATGGTTAAAGGCTGGTTTGATCTTGTTAAACCTGTTATCCTAGCCTTTAGCCTTGAGTTGTTAAGGTCAACCTTTTTCTGCTTTGTAGAGTTTATCACTTCAGATCAGACATTTTGCCCTTCTCACTCAGTGTAAAGCCGAATACTGTTGCACTTTACAGCTTGTTAGTGGTTACTGCTCTAGTAAACCTCACTAGTTAAATCTGTATCAGTAGCCTGACCTAACGCAGAACAGAATCGTAGATTGATGACAGTAGCTATAATTGAACCCACCCACTATCAGTGCTCTGTGGAAGTTGAACCACTCCTTGTCCTTGTGTGTATGCATATCTGACATTTATTTCTACTTGTAGATCACCACCAAGGAAGAGGTGAACTCCAAGCATGGTGCATCCATCAAGACAGAGCTGGAGCCAGAAACATTCAAACCCAACCTCAGAGAAGCCAGTGATCTCCTGGAGGCTGATCAGATAGAGAAGGTACAGACTGCTGCGCACACTAGGGATGTCACAATACCAGAAAATGCATTAGTCGATACCAATCCCCATGAAACTGCGCGATCCTTCATACCCAATTTAATACCACGGTAAAAAACAAAACAATGAACCCACTCCTTTATTGAAAACATTACAAACAACAGTGGTATGTAGCCTTCAAGTAATAAATCCAAAGGAACAACACTCTTTTCTGCTTGCCTGTTGCTTTCCACTCTTTAGTTGATTGTTTTTGTTATATAGACTATCTGCCAATCAATATCAGCCTCCAAGATCCCGATTCTATCACAGTTTTGTTATAGTTTTGTGGTATGGGGTTATTTTTAGACTCGCTTTGTATTGATATCAACGCAGGTGTTATTACATATGTGTCCTCTTCCCCCTCGCATAAAGCAAACGGTGTATTTCCAACATGTGAGAACATGTCGGCCACAAACAAATCAGAGCTGTTTTACTGTTTTTCTTTTCGACAAGTCGAGGCAGAGCTGTTACTGCAGATGTACTTGTCGCCATCTTCAACGTGTTGGTAGCCATTCTTCCTCCTAATGGCTTTATATGTAAAATTCTCCAGAAGAATCCCTGGTACCTCGTCGTTACTGTAGAAAAACAAATACTGTCACATTTTCAGAAAATTGGCTTCACCAGTATCAATTCTCATGCCATCCCTTGTACAAATCTGTTCTAATGCAACCCTACACATGCAGCAGTGTGTATCTGAATGTTAGTCAACCTTTTAAAGGATAAAACTGGTGATGTTTTATACTTTTCTGGTCAACAAATCACAGGAAGAGACTAAATCCAGCAATGAGTTGATTCTAGTGTGTGTATCAAAGCCTGATATCGTATTCCTCTGTGCCATAGAACTCCATTGTGGTTTAAAAACACGTCAATGAGCAACACTGAAAAAATATTACACAAAATACACAAAATAATAATAAGTTGCCCTTTTACAAAAAAGGCAATATTCCTATTAAGTTTTTACATGTTTAATGAAAATGAAAATGATAATATTCCTGTTTAAGTTAACGTAATGAAGTACATCCTATGGCTATAAAAAATTGGTTAAAATAGGTTTTCTCCCGGTGGCGGACACAGCCTACCTCCTTCATTTGTTGAATGACTTTGTTGGAATTGTCGGTGTTACGATATTTACACATATCCAAAGATTAAATATATCCAAAAAGTTGTTGAAACCAAGTCTTTTATAATGTTAAAAAGTAAGTTTGTTTCTCTTTACACCAAAAAATCTGGGTTTTTCTTTAATGCGTGCATCTCGACACCAGACTTACTAGTTTGGTTTGTTTACAACGCTGTTTACAGAGCTGATTGTAGTCATGTGTCATGTGTCACAAACTGTGGTAAAAACAACTGAGACATTAGACTATATATACTGTCACCATATACATATTCTGAAGGGGCTGTATACATGTCCAAAGAATGCTCCTAAAACATGAATAATATCGGCATATCCTACGTCTCAATCGGAAAATGCTACATTCAGATTAAAGAACAGAAGAATATGCTGTTTATATCAAATTAGGAATATTGCCATATTTGGAACAATAGTTGAAAAGTAGTGTACATGTAAACCCACATACATCCTGCTGTAAATACTCACTAGACCGCCGAATGTGTATAAATCCACCAATGAAAATAGTCCCCAACAAATCCACTCTTTGTTGGTGTTTGAGTAACATTTGCTTAAAACTACAGTGACCAGGTATTTCAGGAAATTAGCTGTTTTTCAGGATTATTATATTTGGGAACTGTTTTGAAGGATTTATGTCCTCAGTAGGAACTAATGGGCTTCTTGTTTTTGATCTTTTTATGGAATTTGTTGACA